TCTCTCTCTCTCTTCTCTCTCGTCTCTCTCCTTCTCTTTCTTTCTTTCTCTATCTTTGGCAAATCCGTTTATGAGATTTGTATTCGAAAAGAGAGAAATTTCTGCGTGAAACTCGAAAGGCAGTCGACGAATGTGTCACACTAATAATCATTTTTCTTCTTACGAGTTTTATCACATCTTCCTTCAATCACCATACGTATGAGAAGGAGAGAAGGAGCGAGAGCAAGAAAATTCATAAATTCTTTATAAAATATTAGTTGGAAAAAATTAAGAAAAATATTAGTTGGAAAATCGTCATAATAAATATACAAAAATTTTGAGAGGCAGATGCCAAAATATATCATAACTGTCGTTCCTCTCGTGTGAAAAATGTTGTCATGTAAATATTACTTGTAGCTGTTGTCGCAATACATAACTTTGTTAACGGTATTTCTTCCTCTCTCCTCTTCTCTTCGTCCTCATCGACCTCCCACAACAGAAGTTGTTCGGAAAGAGAGAGAGAAAGAGAGAGGAGAAAGAGAGAGAGAGAGAGAGAAGAGAGATGAGAGAGAGAGAGAGAGAGAGAGAGAGAGAGAGAGAGAGAGAGGAGAGAGAGAAGAGAAGAGACGAGAGAGAAGAAGAGAGGGAGAGAAAGAAGGAAGAAGAGAGAGAGAGGAGATTGGAATATTCACAAGAGCTTTTTCAAGGGTTCATGTCTCATCTATCTCTCTCTTTCTACTCATGCTCAATAGGGCTCTCTCTCGTCACTTCTTCCTTCTATATTTCTTCTTTTTCTATCCCTCCTGCCTCTCCTTTTCTTCGTCACCCTCCTCTCTTATATCTTTCCTTCTCTCTTTCGCCTTCTCTCTTTCCTTACCCTTCTTCTCACCCTCGGCTCTTCCTTCTGGGTTCCTTCGACTCCCTCTTTCTCCACTCTTCTTTCCTTCTCTCTTCTTCCCTCTTTCCACCCCCTTTTCCTTTACTCTCCCTCCTTACCTTTTTCGTTCGCTTCTCTCCCTCTTCTCACCTTATACGTTCTTCTCCCCTTCTTTCTCCCCTTTACCTATATTCCCTCCTTCTTCGTCTTCTCTCTTCCTCTCCTATTTTCTTTTCCTCTCCTCCTTTTTCCGCTAATTATTCTCCTCCATCCTCCGCCCTCCTTATTTCTCTCTTTCCTCTTCTCTCTTATCCTCGCCTCTACTTCGTACCGTGTGCTCTCCTCCCTCTCTTCTCCTCCCTTTTATCTTTCTTCCTCTATTTTCCTTCCCCTCTGCCCTCCTTCTGTCTTTCCTTCGCGTCTTCCTTCCTTCATCCGTCATCTTCTTTCCTCTCCCTCCTCCCTCCTTACTTCCTTCCCTCCCTCCTTCCGTCACTTTCCTCTCTCCCTCTTCTCCATCCTCCTTATTCCTCCGTCTCTCTCCTCCCCTAGCTTTATTTCCCTCCCTCTCCCTCCTTCTGTCTTTCCTCCCCTTCCTCCAGCTACTTTATTTGTTACTCCTCCCACCTCCTTCCTCCCGCCTTCTATGTTCTCTCCTCTCTTATTTTCTTCTTCCTTCCTCCTCCTCCTTTCCCTCTCTCCCTTCTTTCCCTTTTCTTATATCCTTTCCCCCTTCTCCCCTCCTCATTTCCCTTCCCCTCCTCCTTCTCTTTTCTTCCCTCTCTCCTCTCCTTCCCCCTCCTTATTTCCCTCCCCTCCCTCCTTCTCTTTCCTCCCCCTCCTCCCCTCTCTTCGTACCTTCTCTCCCCCTCTCCCCCCCCTTCCCAGCGCAGTTTGCTACCCCCAAACACACCTGCTGGAACGCTACAAGAACTCAAATACACAAAAGTCCAAAATAAATAGGAATAGAAAAAAAAAAATGTGTGCCCAACGCATGCACACTCATTAACATTTGCAAACGAAAACTCTGGACGCCATTTTGAGCGAAAACATCATCTACCTTTTGCGA